TTCATACAACTTTCTATTCATTCCTTTCTTTCTTTCTATATATAACTTATATAACGTATATATTCCTGTTTTGTACTTCTTTTTTTAAAATGTAACTTGATATATATAAGAATAATAGAGTTGTACTTGAGTAATAAAAGTAAAATATAATGTTGTGGAGAGGGAAAAATAGATGTTATCTTATTTGTATAACATTAGCTTCAGGAAGACATGTAGGATTTTTTGTTTTTATACATGTACCTCTTTACATACCCTTATTTTTGGACTTAAACAAAAGCAAAATTAAATAGTGGATAATTATGTTAGCAGTGATAGCAAATGCCACTGCAGCCTTTGTCACTGCTGAATTTCTTTAGTATGCAGAAGTACGATTTATCAGACTGCATAGAAGTGTGATTTGTCAGACTGTACTGATGTTTGACTGGTCAGACTGTACTTAACCCTTTCGCTGCCAGAGGGTTATTGTTTCATTGTTCACCTATTTGCCAGAGGATTTTCTGAGAAATTACTATATTATTAATTAATATAATTATTATTATTTGTTATATGTATTATAATAATTATATATGTTTCAAAATCTGTTAGTATAATAATAATTATTGTCGATGGCATAATTTTCTTTATATTTATTATTATTTTTATTATTACTATTATTTATTTATTATTATTACTATTATTATTATAGAAACGGCTAAAGCCGTCCATATGGCAAATACGCCGAAAATAACAGGGACGGCTTAAGCCGTCCCTATGGCAGTGAAAGGGTTAAGGTCAGTTCCCCAGACTGCATGAAAATATGATTGGTCACACTATACATTAGAGCTTATATTGTTCAGATTGCAAGGAAGTGTGATTGGTCAGATTGCACAGAAGTGTGATTTGTCAGACTGCACAGAAGTGTGATTTGTCAGACTGCACTGAAGTGTGATTGGTCAGATTGCACTGAAGTGTGATTGGTTAGACTGTAAAAAAAACAGGAAAAAACAAATTAAGTTTTAGGTACTTTCCCTATACATGTATATAAACTGTATAAGCAATATTTCATATCGAAATTTACTTTCCTTTGCATAAAGGTGGGCATTAAATATTTTCTTTTTTCTAATATCATCAATTTATGAAATTTTCGATAAAAATCAGCTTCGTACCTCGCCATCATGGAGACTGGTGAGTGAAAGTATTTGTTTGATCTAAATTGGAAAGCATTCACGGGGGAGCTTTGCAAGCGTAGATCATCAAAACGATCGTCTCTCAAACGCACATTTTTTCTCTCTGGACGGCTAAATTAAGCTGTTTGGTGACAGGTACATTTATCGTAAATTGCTTGACAGTTTTGATGGAAAATCAATTATTAATGTAGTTACCTTTTGAAACGGTCCAGCGATTAAGACTTTTTGAACATTTTAAAAGCATTTGAGCTCTAAACCATATAATTCTAATGATTGCTCATCCAACCAATGAAATATTACATTTTCGGAAAGGGAAAATATTTTGAAAATATAAAATATGAAAATTATGCTGTGAATCAAATGTGTTTTGTAGTCTATTAAAAACCTGTCAGGTTTATAATTTATCTAACACACATTGGGTTAACAGCTGGAAGTCACATTAAATTCATTCAGGAATGAAACCTGATTTTTCATATGCTAAAACATCTTGTCATAAAATGTATTGAAAAAAACTTCCTTTACAAAATCTGAAATTGCCTAAAAACCGTGGTTATAGAATTAAAAGTATTCTTGCAATATTGCAAACTTTCTATAGTGACTGAAGGTTAAAAATTGAAATTATGATTCTGACAGTACACAAAGCCTAGTTTTACAACCGCTGAACCATATCAAAATTCATGTCAGTTTTTGGCGATAATAGATAGTTCCCAATTTTCTTAATATTTACCTCCCTTGCCAAAAGTGGCAGCCATTTTTAGCATTTATAGTCTGTTATGATAATATAATTGACAAAATATGAAAAGTTTTAATTATATAAACAACTTATTTTGATGAATTGTCAAATTCTTTTGCCAGTAATGATTAAACTGGAATTGGAGAAATTTTGCCAGGAACATGGCGTCTGTTTATCATTCAAATATTGAAAGATATAACAAAAAATTAGCAAAAGCCATCAGTTACAGTAAACCAAATTGTTACCATTAACAAATGGGACATGATCATCTGTCCTGCTTATTGCAGGGGAGTGTCCTTTTAATGTGTAAGCAGTCCAGAAAACTCAGTGGGTGAGTCCTTCAGTTAACATAGTAAGATGGTATCAGGGTTACGAGTCCTCAGGTCACTGGTTCGTATCGATTTATTCAGGGAATATACATAAACACATACAATATTATCACATATATCAACTTGCATATATATAAAAACACATACATAAATGCAACAAAAATAATTATAAGATTAATTATTGAGTATGTTCTATGTTACCCTAGGATTGCCCATTAAGCTAAAAGCTTATTTCCAATGGGGTCCATTTACTGTAAAATTATCACACTTAAACTTACATAATAATAAATGAACTATAAAGAAGTTAAAATAATTGACAATTAGGTTGCATTTTTTTTTCACTCTGTGACAACAGAACTGAAATTTATATTAGCAGCCTTCAAATTACTTGATTGTGTGATACCTGGCTCTATAATACATATGTTATATATCCTGTCATACTTTCTGCTTAGTGCTCAGAGGGTTTCAGAACTTTTGTTGCTAGAGTGAATGATAATTGAAATTCAAAAATTCCTAATTTTATGCCACTTAGCTATACCCTTGTTATAAGTATTGCAGCAAATTCTTTTGTAATTGTTATTGGCATGAATTTATAATGGCGTCATGAGTATATGATGAGTAGAATGTATCATAAATGATTTTGCATGAAGTATTATTGTGCTAGTTGTTACCATGTTATGTTATTCGAGTTGTAAAGTGAGAAAAAAATAATATTGGGGTGTACAAAGGCTTGCTTCAGGAATCCTGGTCACCTGGTTGCAGTAAAGTCCCATGCCACCAAGAGTGGTTCATACTGACCAAACACAACCTTTTACCTGGCTTTATAGATTTTACTCATTTAGCCATAAACATTTTATGACGGGAATTAGGTGGCACAGTGGTTAAACCTGGTTTGATTCTCAATATGGTTACTGTGGTTTCAAGCCCTTCAGGGGTCATAGTTTTATCGAGTCACAACCATGTCCTCCAGTACAGGTAAGTATGAGAATGGTTCTAAGACATTGTAAGCTTTCATTGAGCTTGAATTTATGTTTAAATTGAAAACTAGAGAAAAAGAATCAAAATAGGTTCTTCAGTCTTTTTTTGTTTAGCGATTTAGCCCTATAGTTTGATTAAGATCCAAGTAATAATAGTCTTTTGTTTCTATGTACAACAATATTCAAATAGAATAGTCACATTCTTGAATATTGAAAGAGCATAATGGTGAAAGTAAAAGTGAAAGGGAAGTAACTGCAAGAGGAAGTTACTTGGCTGTATAAAAAGCGCAAAAAAATCATATTCAGTTTTTTTTTTTTTTTTTTTGGTTTACCGTTGCACCAACACAGTAAAGGTCATATAGCAAATTTCCATCTTTACTGGTGGAGGAAGTCCTTGCATTATTTCAGGCATGAACGGGCACCTGAGTAGAACTACTGACATTCCATAAGCTAACTGGATAGCTTCCTCACATGAAAGAATTTAAAGTCCCTAGAGAGATTTCAAACCACAGTGGTGAGAGGCAAGTGATTTGAAGTCAATGACCTAAACCACTCTGCCACTGACACCTTTTCAATTTTTACCATCTGAGTATATAGAATAAGTATAAGATAATATTGTATAGTGTCACTGAATAGTTATTATTTAATTATCTTCCCTTTCATTTTGTAATACCAGGTTACAGGCCCCCACGGTTACACATTTAAACGGATTTGTTTCGATTTTCATTCGTAAACGTTTATGATATTTTTTACCGTTTAATCGAAATGACCATAATTATTGTCTTACAAAATATTTTAATCATTGCCTGTAATCATGGATGTTACCAATTCTAATTGATTTATTCTAAAGTAAAACACGGCAAATGGGTGTTTACAACCCTCCAAACAGCATTACCGTGCAATAATCGCTCATGACATAATACATTTTTGGTAAAGTTGCAATGATTTCATCTCATTTATCGTCATATATTGATAGTCAATCCGTCTAACAAGCATTAACAATTAATTGGTATTAGGTAAAGGGAAGCAACCACATCAGAATTTGTTTTAATTTTGTTAAGAGTTGTCCTTCCATGATATACACTATAGGATGTATGATACTTTAAATTTATGTAGTTTTGCATTGCCTTTATGGGTATAGGGCTGTGTAAAAGCAAAGAATGCTTATTAACTATGTTAATTAAGCTTAAAGTTGCATGCCTCCAGATGAGCAAAAATATTTCAAGAAAATAAAACTAAAGAAGAAGTAAGAAAAGTAACACAATTGAAGATTCAAGTAATAATTTTCATGTTATTTGTGATTAAACACTGATTTAGCAGTGTTTATCACCATATTTCAACTGAGTGACTTATACGCAGTTAAAGGGCTATTTTGTATATTTTGACCACTTGGTTATTTGAGTGGTTTGTAAGTGTTGTTTTCAATATTCAAAATACTTTCTAAAAAAAAAAAAATGTTTACTTCCCAATACATGTATTTTACTATAAATTCATTTTCAAAATTTTCATGAAAATAAGCATGAATCTGGAGGCATGCTACTTTAATTTTGATTCCAGTTAAATTCTTTTCTACTGGAATTCTACCAAAATACTTCTGAAACTAAGGGTATATAATACATGATTACATGAATATACCCTGGGGGAACTCGAGAAGGAATTTCAGTTTATGTACCAGTGGTAATTTCCAGAATATCATTTTGATTAAGGAATATTATATATTTTGCATTTTCAGTTTTCAACAGTTTTCAGTACCACTTTTTTCAAGACTTTTTTGAAAAGGTTTTTATCTTTCCAGATACTGACACAAGTGACTCTTCAGAGGTGAGGAAGGAAAGGAGCAAGTCTGAAAAGGATGATGGCAAAAGAGCATCAGAGGTCAGAACTACCAAGCTCCCTATGGTATCAGCTACCAACAGACCTTTATTCTATGTTGGTAATGGCAATGGAGCATCACTGTGAGTATTTAAATTGTGTAGAAACCAAGATATTATTAGAAAGCTAATTTCAAATAACTCCCCAATTAACACTCACAGCGTCACAATATTGTTTGTTTCTATTGGCCAGGCCAAGATTGCAATGCTTAAAGAATAAACTTTAATAATACCAGTTAGACCCCTGTAAATCATTGACCAAGGTTATCCTTGCTTAGCATTGTTAAGCATGATAAACCATGGTTAAACCATGGTTTTGGAAAATAAACATTTATATTATGGCCAACCATGTATATATTTCGATTCAAGTTATGACCATGGTCATAGACATATTTGCTGACCATGGTTGGAGATTATACATTACCTTCCCTGGTTTTTAATTTATACAGAATAAATATTATTTGGATTGTATAGGATTAGATACAAATGTATAAGCATATAGACACACCCTTGAATACATTCCTTGAACCAACCAGTAGTATTCAATGAGTATAAATATTTTGCTCAAGGAAACAACAGCTTGCCCCTGACAGGATTTGAACCCTCACAGTCAGCAATTCCTAGATAATTTAAGTCTGAAGCAACCAACAGGGGTTTGGCCTATTTGTTTATCCAGTAATGATCAAATTATCTTAAAATAATTCCTTTCAATCATCAAGAACAAAACTACTATCCCTGCACACCCATTTGCTATATAGTACTTTATGTTATATACTTTAAAGTTAGTTATTTGCAAATGAGACAAATGCCTTTGCACTGACCTAGATGAGCTGCATGTTAATAGATTTGTGTATTTCTAGTGTTGAAGGTCCGTTGACTAGCCTGGGCTGGAAGAAGATAACAGATAGACGTGATGGAAGATTTAAATTAAAATGGGTACAATGTAAATCTACAATAGACTACAGTTCTTTCAGGGAAGGTATCAATATGAAATAAAAGATCTTTTACTTGTAATTTTTATATTCCTTTACCCTTAATCTGCTAGAACCTTAGCACCCTTAGTGCCATCTTGCAGTCAGACTAGGCTCTATGCTCAGTTTTTCTATCATATATGGTTATTGAAATACTTTAAAATTTGATTGAAATGTTCCAATTTCAATATGATTCTTTATTTCTTAAGGGACAGTTACACACATGGTCGGTCCCCAATCGGTCATTTAATTTTAAATACTCGCTGTTATGATCGGTTGTACATAATGGTTGATTTTATTTCTGGTTTTCTGTTTAAATGGCCATCGGTGACAAAAAGCATACTTAAACAGGGTTGGATTGGTGATAAAAATGCCCGAAAGGGCATATTATGTTATACCCCCTGGCGTCCGTCCGTCCGTCCGTCCATTAGCAATTTGGTTTCCAGAGCATAACTTAAGTTCCATTTGGCCCACAATGTTCAAACTTCAAAGAATGATTGTCCATATCGGGTAGAAGACCCCTATTGATTTTGGGGTCAAAAGGTCAAAGGTCAAGGTCACTAATACCTTGAAACTGAAAACAGTTCCGTCTGTTAGCAATTTGGTTTCAGGAGCATAACTTAAGTTCCATTTGGCCCACAATTTTCAAACTTCATAGGATGATTGTCCATATTGGGTAGAAGACCCCTATTGATTTTGGGGTCAAAAGGTCAAAGGTCAAGGTCACTATTACCTTAAAAAACTGAAAACAGTTTCCGGAGCATAACTTAAGTTTCATTTGACCCACAATGTTCAAACTTCATAGGATGATTGTCCATATTGGGTAGAAGACCCCTATTGATTTTGGGGTCAAAAGGTCAAAGGTCAAGGTCACTATTACCTTAAAACTGAAAACAGTTTCCGGAGCATAACTTAAGTTCCATTTGACCCACAATGTTCAAACTTCATAGGATGATTGTCCATATTAGGTAGAAGACCCCTTTTGATTTTGGGGTCAAAAGGTCAAAGGTCAAGGTCGCTATTACCTTAAAATTGAAAACAGTTTCCGGAGCATAACTTAAGTTCCATTTGACCCACAAAATTCAAACTTCATAGAATGATTGGCCATATATGGTAGGAGACCCCTAATGTTTTTGGGGTCACAAGGTCAAAGGTCAAGGTCACTATAACCTTAATACTGAAAACAGTTTCCGAAGCATAACTTAAGTTCCATTTGGCCCACAATATTCCAACTTCATAGGATGATTGTCCATATTGGGCAAAAGACCCCTATTGATTTTGGTGTCACTAGGTCAAAGGTCAAGGTCAATATTACCTTAATACTGAAAATAGTTTCTAGAGCATAACTTAAGTTCCATTTGGCCCACAATATTCAAACTTCATAGGATGATTGTGCATATTGGAGAGAAGACCCCTATTGATTTTGGGTCACAAGATCAAAGGTTAAGGTCATTTATAACTTAAGTATTAATTAACCTACAGCTATAAAGTTTTATAGGCTGAACAACTAATTCCCATGTCTTGCAAATGCTTCATCCTTACTAAAAAAAAACACTTTCGGGCATATAATGCTCCGCCAAGCCGTGCTCTTGTTATCGTTTGTAAATCAGAGCTAAGTCGGGCGTAACACTGATTAATCAGTGTTTGATAGCTAGTCATCAGTGGTTAAACACTTTCCATGAGATATGGCCGGTGATTCATATTGGTTATCTTTGTCAGATCGGCGATATCGGTGATTAAGAGCTTGAATATCTCGTGATATAGGTTGCCCTCAGTTATTTGTAAAATCTTTTCACCGATCGAGAATTTTAAACATGTTTAAAAATCCCAATCGGTAATTTTTCACCGATAAAACTTATCTTTTCCCAATAGCAGTTGATAGGTGGAAAACAAGTGACCAATAGGTGATATCGGTGTTAAATACGTTGTCATCGGTTCACTCCATTAAAACTACCAATCAATCACCGATGGCTCTGTGTAACTGGGGTGTTAAGGGATATCATGATAAAAAGTTTAACGTTGGTCAGGCCTGGTCAGACTGCATATTTATTGAGAGTGGCTAGACTGGTGGTAAAGACTTTGTTGTTTTTTATGTACTCATATCATGTAGGGATAAAATTTTTTAATCAGATGCACATCTAAATGCGACTTTTACTGTGTTGATGTCACTATAAAAAGAGCAACAGCAAAAAACATGAAAAAAACTTCCTCATCAGTTGTATGTGTAATTCTTTCATCATAAAATACACACGGAAAATTGGAGCGCCACAGTCGGGACATAAACCACATGTCTCTGGATTGCTGGTCCAGTATGCTTGTCACTATACCAAAATGTGTTATTTTTCAATGTTTAATTCCCACTCCTGACTTTCTTTCATATATATAATATCATTATATACATTGTATTCTTTTCCAGGTAATCAGCTAGTTAATCATATACCAAACTCACAGTTGCTCACAAATAAACTTGGTTTGCTCAACAGTTTAAAGAGTTATGAGAGGATAACTCTTAGTACCAAAGGGAGACTACCCAGGTTAAAAATGACTGAATTTCATCCTGAAACTTACAGACTTGATGATAAAACTGATAGGGAAGAATTTTTAAGAACATACAAAGGTTTGTTTGTTTGTTTGTTTTGGGTTTAACATCACATCGACACAGTATAGGTCATATCGCGACGTCACAGCTTTACTGGTGGAGGAAGACCTCAGGTGCCCTTCCGTGCATTATTTCAGGCACGAACGGGCACCTGAGTAGAACCACCGAAGTTCCGTAAGCTAGCTGGATAGCTTCCTCACATGAAAGAATCCAAAGTCCCTGTCGGAATTCGAACCCACAGCGGTGAGGGGCAAGTGGTTTGAAGTCAACGACCTTAACCACTCGGCCACAGACACCCCCACATACAAAGGTAATTGTACTTATAGTCGTTTATTTTCTTAGGGCATTTATTTAAAGTTTGCATTTAGACCCAAATGGATAACATTTTAAGAACTTCACTACAATTTTTTTGGTTTTAGTTTAAAGACATTATTTTAGCTTGATTGTATTGAGAACTTGAAGCTCATTTATAACCACTCTTAATTTTGCTGTTTTAAACAATCCTATGCTGGAGTTGTTTGATAAAACATGATTGTGGTATTTATTTTAAACTGCTAAAAAAAAGAAAATAACATTCAATAAAAAAAGGCTGGTTTGATGACCTGGCCCTAGGTATAAGTATAATTGTTGCTATAACACCTAGATAAGTCAATTATTGCTGCTTTTCGTTTTCAAAGAGTGGATATTAATTTTGTTGTTTTAATGTTATTGCTATTGAAGCTTATAAAGAAATGAATGTTTTATGATAAGCCAGCAATATATTTGATACCTTAAAGAGAGCGAGATATGGATATGTAAACCAACGGGACTAAATCAAGGAAAAGGGATATTTTTGATACGTAGCCGAAAGGAAGTAGATGAAATTTTAAATGAACAGGAACAGAAAAAGCAACAATCAAAGAAGCCAGGACTACCAGTAATGAACAGAATAGTTCAAAGGTAATCAACATTGTATAATATTATCCTTTTGCTAAGTTTGAAAGTAACTTCTTTTTACCATATTATTCTTATATAAAGTAAATGGTAAATCACTGTAAGGTAAGTGAACAGGCACGAAAAATATATGCAAATAAATAAAAACAAAATAGTTTGACATTATGAAACTGTTTTAATATGAAAAATGCAAAGCCTCAAAGCGAGCTCGATTTACTTTTACCGTGTAATAGTATAAAATAATTGTTCATTTTTATTTTACATTTTTCCGTTTTAAAATTGTAATTCGGTATTTATACACTGCTTTTGCTTATTATGGTTCCCTGTTTTATTATGGTTCCCATATAAGTGCGCAGGACACCAGTCTACGCTTCTGTTTTCAATCAGAATACCTCGGCTTTTATTGATATCTTGTAATTCGAAAAGTTGTGATGTGTCAATTCAGTACTTTGGACGGAAGTTTTCAAAACCATCACTATCTAGCGAGGTACTCTGGTTACCGAAAGCTCGCTTTGCGAGCAGGCCCTTCGAGCTCGCTTAAAATATGAAACATAATTTTTTATTTAAAATCACAAAATTCTTCATTTCTGGTTTTTGAGAGCGCTTCTGTGGCCGAGTGGTTAACATATCTGTAAGGTTAAAAAAAGAGGCATTGGATTCTTTTATACGAGAAAGCTATCCACCTGGCTTACAGAAGGTTGAGGTTCTACTTAGGTGCTAGCTTTTGTCTTAAATAATCCACTAAGGGACACTTTAAGTCTTCTTCCATACAAATAGCTGAGAAATCTCCATATGACCTTTTTACCTCAGACTATTATATTGTGCTAACTGTATGATATTTGTGTCTTTGATGTTTCACAGGTATATAACAAATCCATTGTTATTGGAAGGTAGAAAGTTTGATGTCCGTGCCTACATGTTGATTGCCTCCACTGTGCCTTTCCTTATCCTGTTTCATCAAGGCTATGTTAGATTGTGTTGTCATGAATATGAGGCTGACAATATGGACCTTGGTAGACATCTAACCAATCAGGTAATTGTCAGACAGTGTTGTTATAAATATGAGGCTGACAATATGGATCTTGGTAGACATCTAACAAATAGGGTAATTATCAGACTGTGTTGTCATGAGTATGAGGCTGACAATATGGATCTTAGTAGACATCTAACAAATCAGGTAATTGTCAGACTGTGTTGTCATGAATATGAGGCTGACAATATGGATCTTGGTAGACACTTAACAAATCAGGTAATTGTCAGACTGTGTTGTCATGAATATGAGGCTGACAATATGGATCTTGGTAGACATCTAACAAATCAGGTAATTGTCAGACTGTGTTGTCATAAATATGAGGCTGACAATATGGATCTTGGTAGACATCTAACAAATCAGGTAATTGTCAGACTGTGTTGTCATGAATATGATGATGACAATATGGATCTTGGTAGACATCTAACTAACCAGATAATTGTGAGAATGTGTTGTCATGAATATGAGGCTGACAATATGGATTTTGGTTGACACTTTACCAATCAGGTAATTGGCAGACTGTGTTGTCATGAATATGACACTTACAATGTGGATCTTGGTAGACACTTAACAAATCAGGTAATTGTCAGACTGTGTTGTCATGAACATGAGGCTGACAATATTGATCTTGGTAGACACTTAACAAATCAGGTAATTGTCAGACTGTGTTGTCATGAATATGAGGCTGACAATATGGACCTTGGTAGACATCTAATCAGTCAGGTAATTGTCAGACAGTGTTGTTATAAATATGAGGCTGACAGTATGGATCTTGGTAGACATCTAAAAAATCAGGTAATTATCAGACTGTGTTGTCATGAGTATGAGGTTGACAATATGGATCTAGGTAGACATCTAACTAACTGGATAATTGTGAGAATGTGTTGTCATGAATATGACGCTGACAATATGGACTTTGGTAGACATCTAACAAATCAGATAGTTGTCAGACTGTGTTGTCATGAATATGACACTGACAATATGGATCTTGGTAGACATCTAACAAATCAGATAATTGTCAGACTGTGTTGTCATGAATATGACGCTGACAATATGGATCTAGGTAGACATCTAACAAATCAGGTAATTGTCAGACTGTGTTGTCATGAATATGACACTGACAATATGGATCTAGGTAGACATTAAACAAATCAGGTAATTGTCAGACTGTGTTGTCATGAATATGACACTGACAATATGGATCTTGGTAGACACTTAACAAATCAGATAATTGTCAGACTGTGTTGTCATGAGTATGACGCTGACAATATGGATCTAGGTAGACATCTAACTAACCAGATAATTGTGAGAATGTGTTGTCATGAATATGACGCTGACAATATGGACTTTGGTAGACATCTAACAAATCAGATAGTTGTCAGACTGTGTTGTCATGAATATGATGCTGACAATATGGATCTTGGTAGACACTTAACAAATCAGATAATAATTATCAGACTGTGTTGTCATGAATATGACACTGACAATATGGATCTTGGTAGACATTAAACTAATCAGGTAATTGTCAGACTGTGTTGTCATGAATATGACACTGACAATATGGATCTTAGTAGACATTAAACAAACCCTGTAATTGTCAGACTGTGTTGTCATACATATGAGGGTGACAATGTGGATATTGGTAGACATCTAACAAACTAGGTAATTTTCAGACTGTGTTGTCATAATTATTAGACTGACAATATGGATCTAGGTAGACATCTAACAAATCAGGTAATTGTCAGACTGTGTTGTCATGAATATTAGGCTGACAATATGGATCTTGGTAGACATCTAGCTTATCAGATAACTTTCTGACAGAGTTGTCAAAAATATTAATTTCTGAACATGACTCTTTCATTTGAGTTAAATGTATACAATTATAAATGCTCTGTTTTCATTTTATATATGATTAACGTCATCAGCTTTAAATTCACTTGTAGTTTGTACAGAAGAAGAATCCTAATTATGAAGAATTGAAGGAGAGTACAGCATGGAGTATGGACAGATTTAATCAATATGTTAATGAAAATGTCCGCCCAGATTGTCCAGTAGAAATAGAGGAGGATTGGGTCTATAATACATTTACAGTATGTGAAGATATATATGTTTGTATTTGAAGTATGAAAATATCAAAAACTAAATACATATGTACCTTGAATAATCAATATACTGCCACAAATTATTTTTATTTTAATCATAGAAAGGATTTGTTCAGTGTTATAGATTTATCACATCAACTATGGTGCAGGAATGTAATAAAGCCATGTAATAAAAATGATATTATACTACTGTAATAATACTTTGACATGAGGTTATTTGCGTTATATACAAACATAGCAATAAAGTGCGCTAATGGAAGTGTTACACTATAAGCGAGTCATTGAAAAATGGCTCTTTTTAGCGGTCAACCATTGTTATTTTGAATATGTGATAAATAGAATATTATATTCATGTAGATTCAATGCTAAATTTATTCAACTTGTTGAATAAAACAATATTATACTCGCCAGAGGCTTGCATAATATGCATTCTTTCAACTTGTTCAATAAATTTAGTGTAATTAAACCTACACACAATCATTATTCTTTATATATATATTGTAAAAAGATTTTTACATGTTACATATATATTGTTGATTGCTTTAAAAGCCACAGCATTATCAGCTCCCAATATGATATAAACTATTGATGTTGATATTGTTGTTAACAAAACTTAGTGTCAATGGAAACCTTCTAGGTCCACCAAAAGCACAAAATAGAGAATGTTTCAGACCCAGTTTAAACGAGCCTGTTCATGGACAGTAATGATACAAACTACCATCCATGTCTAATGTTTTTGTGCATTATGTGTAAGCTTCAATTAATTTATAAACATGCAAAAGAAAATGCATCAAGGGAAATAAATGTATTACATACTGTTTATATAACACCTGCATAAGTTGTCTCCCTTGTCAAAAGAGATTGTAAAAGGTATATATTAAGCTGATAAATAAGGATTTTGAATATCACCTTTACATCATCAATGATTTGATGCATGTGTTTAGTGTAACAATAATTCTATTAAAATGCACATTTATGATATATTGGATGCTTAGCCTTCAGTTGCTTAAAAACTGAGATTTGACCAATAAAGTCCTGAGGATTTATCGCTTGGTACAGCCTTCATCTTGATTTTTGATGTTATTATCAACCATCTATGTTTGTAGAAACAGATGCAGAAAATAATGATCCACCTTTTCAACAGTGTCAAGCATAGGTTACAGTCACGTATTGGTTACTTTGACTTGTTTGGTCTGGACTTTATGGTGGATACAAATATGAAGGTATTGTAACCTGTGTTTTCAATTTCACATTTTTTTTATTACTGGACAATTAAGTTAATAATAAGACTAACTTGATCTGGGACTTTCATAATATTTGAGTGAGTTTTACTAGGTTTTGAAGATCACAAGAGGCACTGGGTGTGATCCAATTACTAGCAAGAGATAATTATTAAGAGATGATGCTTTTTTTTTCAAGCAGTTTTATTTTAATAACTTGTTTGGTTGCGCATATTGCGAAGTCCCTGAAAAGTTGTTTTGTTTTGGTTAGTGCACCAGTGCAGCAGGCAATCCTGGTTCTCTCACATACCTGGTGTAGGTGTTAGTGCCAATACATGGAGAACCTCAGTTTTTAACATATGAGCCACGCCATGACTAAACCAACATAATGGGTTTGCGACCAGCATGGATCCAGACCAGCCTGCGCATCCGCACAGTCTGATCAGGATCCATGCTGTTCGCTTACCAACCCTATAACAAGTAGAGAAAATGATAGCGCAGGCTGGTCTGGATCCATGCTGATCGCAACCCATTATGTTGGTTTTGTCATGGCGCGGCTCACATAACCCTTCTTAGTAAATTGTGGAGGAGCGGGCGATTAAACCTGCAACCCTTGAATAGCTAGTCCAGCACTTTACCATTACCATTGGACTATGGATCTGCACCTGAAATACAGGCTCATGAATGAGTTTATCTTTTATAATGACTTTATGGAAGCAGTTTTGTTTCTCCAAAAGAATCCATTTCAAATGTTATCCCACAAAACATAATATACTGTTATTTCTTAATGCATTATTTTATCATTTGAATAACTATATGACACTTTTTATAATTTACGATAGACTTGGCTGATTGAAGTTAATGAAAACCCATCACTCGCGCACACATGCCGCTGTCAGAAAGACATTTTACCAGATCTTATTGCAGAGTGTCTATGTATGATATCTTGTTTTAAACTTGTTTCGTTGGAAAAAAAAGAATGCTTTTTGGAAAAGGTTTTTTGAGAAAGTTATGATTAAAAGAAATTGTTTGGAAAAATTATCGTTACATAGAAAAACTTTGTTTTCAAAATGTAAAATTATAGTTGTGTTTAAAGGAAGCAGTTTAAATGTGATATTATAATTCAAGAAATTTGTTTGGAAAAGTTATGGCCAAGGGATGTTGTTTGGCAATGTTATATTTCAAGAAAGTTGTTCGGAAAAGTGAAAAGTGAAGTAGAATTTGCTTGAAATGTTATAGGTGGAGAAAGTTTATAGCTAATGTTATGTTAAGAGAAAATTGTTAGTTTAAATGTTAATATGTTAAGTTGTTTGGAAATGTTATGTTTAATGACACTGGTTATTGAGAACATCTTTGTTCTAAGACAATTTTTATAAATTTTTGTTTGAGAGTGTTATTTTGAAATTAGTCTTGACATTTGAGACAGATTATTTGATGTATGTTTGTTCTATTGCTCTTACATTTTGTGATAAAATCATTGAATATATATTTAAAAGATTTGTTATGCACCCATGATGGTATACAGGGCTTTGTTTGGTATTTCTATCATGACTGGCTATGCCTAATTTTTTAATTTTTACATGTTCAATTGAATTTGTTTTATAACTTATTGCAATCTTTTTAAAATATAAACCTTTTATAGGTTATATCTTATTTTTTGTTAACTTCTCAAGGTTAATATTAAAAATCAGAGTGAATGTTTCCTTTTTTCTTTCATTAAAACATTTTCAAAACACAATTTATATTTCTATACAGATATATGTTATTGAAGTCAATACAAACCCGGCCCTTACTTGTAATTGTGAGGCGCTACAAGGGGTCATTCCAGGGGTCGTTGAGGAAACATTATGTATGTAAAATGCATGTCATGTACCCACATATAATCCTTTTTGATAAAATATATCATGTGCACCTGTGTATATTTGTATATATTTATTGCTTGTATATTAACAGTGAAACTTTCCCTGCATGCTACCCAACACAGTTTCTTGTATACAGTACAGTCACACCTGCTTACTCCTTCCACCTTTATAAATTTTGTATTTTCATTCCTATAGTATAGAAATACTTTCTTCTTATTTTAGCCCTCACTATCATAAATGTGGAGGGGACTATACAGGAACTTCTTTGTCATGTCAGCTCATTAGTCAGTCATTCGGAGATGACTTTATCTTGTCCTTTTTATAAACTTTTTATGGATATATTTTCAAACTCAACTCAAATGTTCAAAATTGTACCATTCGTTAGCAGTTTTGGGAAAGGATTCAGTGTCATTCATTTGAAACTGTTTTTTAATGACTGTGAATTTTAGGATAGTTTGATGGCCTAAAGTACAGCAGTCAGGAGATGGGTAAGTTAGGACTGCAGTGCCTGAAAGTGACACCATAGCATGAGTAGGTGTCACATAAGTGCAAATTTAAGTATTATAATCATTTTAAAGCTTCAAAGCACTGCCAATTGAAAAACATTTCTTTAGCATTTTCAGTTAAAGCTCATTGGTCTAAGGAATCTTTCTGAAGGGCTGGTTGAATAATGGTGACAGACACACTTTAAAGTGAATTGGTCTATAATACAAATAAATAATTCACTTTAAGGATGACATTTAAGAATGTTTAAAAAAAAATTCTTTCCTCTTTATTTACATTAATTATTTTACAGTATTGTTTATTTAGGCTTTGTTTTTGCAACACACACTATTTTTATAATCATTAGCTTTTTGCAGCAGCTTACAGATTGTTCTATTTTTTGTGAGACTGGTCTTATTTCTCTTGAGCAAGATGTTTATTAATTATGTTGAAAACCAGTCTATCCCTATGAAAAGTTTGTACTTCTTACTTTAGCCCCTTCTGCAACACTAACTGTTTCTCATAGCAACTTCATTTATAATCTAATGTGCTAAAACAGTTTTAATTAGTATGCTTGGCCAAAGATAAAATGCACCTAAGTAAAATTGTATTTGAAATGACCAATGGACAATCCTGAACAAGTTTGTTCTAAACTGTGGTTGATATTATAGTATAAGGCCATGGTAAATCTGTAAATCTTCTAAATTATGTCATACATTTATATATGGATCAAAAGATTAAACCCCAGCCCTATTATTAGTGAACTATGATTAATCTTTTTACAGATAATTGATCTTGTCGTATCAGGTCCTCTAAATATTTATTTTGAAGACATTGCATACTAATGAATTAATTTTGCTGCTATTTCAATTAGCACTTAAATATGTTATAACTTTAGATAAAACACATTTTATGTAAAAAAATGCCCTGTCAAATGGTGATTGTGGCAATTGGTGGCTTTTTATAATGTCATGTTATTAAAGAAATCTTGCAGAAGTTGACTGACAATACATTTATCTCTTCCCAAAAATAATTTATAGCTCACAGCAGACTTACTCATTTATTAAGCAATTTCTAAGACTTGTTTCACATAACATTTAACCTGTTTAAATTACCAAGATGGAATTGTCCAGCTCCCATTATTGGAACTGTCCATGATTTTGCAGAAATCACAGTGAAAATTTAAAATTAATTGGCCAATAGACAGCATGAAAGTTCGGGCTCCGGCCTGACACTATTCTGCGGTGGCAAAGGTTAATCACTTTTGGTTCCGGCAGGTTAAGGGTTAAATATATTGATATTATTCTATAAAAATAGACCAATTATTACTTGTATAAGACTACCTTTTACTTACTTAAATGATCTAATGGTTGCCATCTGTTTATATTTTAAGACCTGGCCATAGAATGTTTCGAGAAAAGCAAGAGGAACAAGCCGCTGTTTCCACTGAAAAGTTTAAAGGATTTCACAGTTTTATACTGCGGTAGTGACCGGCAAACTTCACCAGAGAAACCTCAATTGACGAGGAGCGCAACACGCATCCAAGAAAACAACAGCCCTGAGAAACCGAAACTGGCCGGTCAGAGTTCGGAAAAAGTGCCGACCCTACCGTCTCTCTATGGGTTAAAGAGGCAATCAACTCAAAGTATGAGTGGTCATACGTCAGCTGATAAAAGACAATATTCAGACAAACAAGATTCTGCCGCGAAGAAAAATTTGCAGGTTCGGAAAGAATCCAATGAGCCATTGAAAAATGAAAATAGTGATAGTGAAAAAAACGGTAAAGAACATGATGTTGAAAATTATCAAAAATCGAAAGCGAGTGATAAAGAACGTATAGAAAATGATTCAACTGATGTTCATTCTGATAAAAAACTTCCAGATATTGCAGAAGCTCAATTAAAAGTGACTGAAACTTTAGATGATCCAAAAAGTAAGACTTCAAGGGGTTCAAGAGGCAATTTAGAACGTGGAAATTAATAACTGGCAAAGGTTTTTAATTTAGAACAAAAACATCAGTATTTTAAAGAAGCATTTTTAATATGCTGTACTGTGATATGAAAAAGTTTATTATTTTATTTTTAGATGTTCGCTATTTATACACTTTTACACAAGGCATTGTATTTTGCTTGATTGTTTATTTATTTTACATGTAAATGTATTAAAATTACACATAAAATTATTCTTTGCTGATGTACAGAAAAATCTGTGATAAAAGATATTTTGTTAGAATTTTATTTTAGTAATACAGTGTAACCTATGCCAACCTTTGAAAATATAGGCTAAATTCAAGGGGTCAACACAAACTATCCATGACATTTAACATATTTAAGAATAATGCTGTTGTTCATCTTCAATATTCAAACACACTCTGAAGCTCAGTAACAATCAATGTCAAATATGTACATTAAATAATCTATGGTGACCATACACATAAATGTACTAGCTCCACATCTTTGCAGGGGAGTAGCAATAATTTTAAAACCCCAAAGTGTCCCCAAGTCATGCATTGCAAGTTGGATATAATTATTATGATATTTAATCAAAACCACTGCATTAAATAGAAAGATAAAAACTTGGCTCATATATACCCACTGCTAGGGGAAGGGCAGGGGGGAGTTGGAGGGTTACAGCTGACCAGTGCAACAGATAGCTATCTTCCATTTTACACTTTCTACATTGCTAGTCAGAATGATATCTCACCATGACAACATATTCTGTTTTTCACCTTTTGAATGGTAGAAGAAGGTTTTCACCATTTTAATGTCAGTTGTTTTTCACCTTTTGAATGCCAACTAGTGATTTTTTAACTTTAGAATGTCAATAATGTTTTCCACCTTTTGAATGTCAGTTGTTTTTCACCTTTTGAATGCTAAAATGTTTCACCATTTGAATGTCAGCTGTCTTTCACCATTTGAATGCTAGAGGGTTTCACCATTTGAATGTCAGCTGTTTCTCTTCTTTTGAATACTGCAGGGTTTCAACTTTTAAATGTAAGTTGTTTTTCACCTTTTGAATGCAAGAGTTTTACAATTTGAATGTCAGTTGGTTTTCACCTTTTCAATACCAACTACAATGTAGGTAGTTTTCACCTTTAACATGTCAGTTATTTTCCATGTCAGAGGCCCATGCCACATACTAGGTAATGATTTATTTTTATGTACCATGACATGGCAATACCTTATTTCATTCATTAGCAGCAAGATTTGAAAAGAACTTTAACCAAATATTTCCTAAAATGACTCAATGCACACACATTTAATTTATGATCCAAAACCTGATTGTTTGTTATGATAATATTTTATTATCAATCTATCTGTCTATCTTTTGATCAAAGATCTATAAATGTATATTTTTATGATTCTGTTCTCTATTAGGTCCTAAAAGATCATTCTGTGATAATTGTTTTATTTTTAAGTTAAAACTGAATTGTATAAAAAACTATTAAAATTTTGTCAAAGAATCAGGTTTTCAGTTTTAGATATACTAGTATTTGATGCTTTAGACTTTAGATTTCACTATAAAAATATTCTTTTGAACATCCATATGGTTCCTATGGAAATGAAGAAAATGGTCAACATATGGGAAATAATTGCTATAATAAGTTGTAGGAACTTGCTTCACTGTTTTGTTAAATAAATATATTAAAGGAACTCACCGTGAGGTTCAAAATTCTTAAAACATATAATGTGAATTTCTTACAGAAAGATATGCTAACAATAATTAAATAATTAATATAATCAGAAATAAATTGAAATCATATTTTGTGCCTGGCGAATCTTGGCCCGCTTTATGTACACTTTTCAATTTTTGGTCATTTTTCTTAAATATAATAATGTAGTAAGCAAATAATCTGAAATTTTTGCGCACAATTTATTGGTCTTGAACAACATAAATCTCAGAAAAATATTTCCTGTCTCATCATGTCCAAAAGCCCCCAGGGGAGTCCCTTTAAATAAATGTTTCAGTAAGCTCAGTAAAGCTCAAGTTTATAATTAAAGCATTAATTGTAATAGTTATCAAAGAATCCTAGGTTCAACTACCAGATTGTCTGTGGTTCTCATAGTTGAAATTTTCTAGACGGTTTTTTAAGGCGCCCAGGTTTGATCCCATGCCTAACTGCATAATCCTCTAAACCATGGATATATTAGCTCATTTTGGAATTTACACATAAAAAAAGTCGGTGAACAAAAGTTATTTTTTGAGGCTTTTGTTTAAATCTCTTAGCTATATATATAACCTTGGACCAAGGTGGAAAGTGATATTTTATTGTGTATTTGTGCACATACTCAAAGCATGTTTATAGGTGTTTGTTGTAAACAATTTTATATACAGCAAATACAACTTTAAGTAGGCATTTTTCAAAGTTGTCAAATCTTTATATTGTTGATTCAAACCATTTTTAAAGCTTTTATCAGATTAAGTCTTATAAATGTATTGCAATTCCAAAGCAGTATTAAAACTGCCACAACTGTAAATAGACTTGACAGAGATTTGCTTGTTTTTTTTTCTTCCAACTACCGTATTTCCCCAAATGTGTGAGAGCATACTTTAATTGGATACTTTATGATAGTTTAAAAAGGTCAAATTTCAGAGAAGAAAGAAGTAAGAAAGTTTTCAAGGTATGTTTATATAATTTATTTGCTAATTTTTGTAGATATTACTATATCACAATCTTTTTTTCCTTCATACATAAATTCTTCTCTAGCAATAAAATTTATAAATAATGTATGCAAATGAATATGAATGTTATGTTTTAATGAAAAAAAAAGAGAAATAAATATAAAATCATTTTTGAAGTATAATTAATGGTCTCCATTGCCAAATCATTAAATTTTGATATGTTTTATTAATGTTACCCTTCCACCAAGGTCAAAACATGTCTCAGCTCATTTATACCCTAATGATCCTGTGTAATGGACCTGTTGAGCTTTTACTTTTGATTCAATTTTAGTGTTTTAAAAAAAGTACATGTATGTTTAATTCCATATATTATATATTTACTGCAGTGAAATATTTATATTTTCTTTATGGATATCATAAAGGGGTATTCATATTTTTCAGTAGCATTATATTTTAACATACAAAGTTTATTGCAGTCAGTTTAAAAAAAAAATTGCTTTCATTAAGATATATGTCATTGTTTTTGTTTACTGTCTTTACATTGATATCATTGGTTATAAAGATTGTTGACAGGTTATAATTTTATGACCTTTCACCTCCTGAATTATTTAAATTGACTTGTCCTGCTTTGAATATGAAACAGTTCATTCAAAGATTAAGGGATTTCAGTGTACAAATATAAAAAGTAAGCAACCGGTAGTTAAACCTCGGTCAGACTGCAGGGATGTGAAGGCTGGCCTGGCCAAAGGCTAATTACTTTTGGTTCCAGTTGTTTCAGGAATAAGTAATTGTTAGAACATATAACCAGAGCTCTTACGGAGAGTTATATAGAAAATAAGCAATTAAATGTGGACATATAACAATTTAAATATATGGTAATATAACCATTTAAATATATGACCATATAACCATTTAAATGTGGTCATATAACATTTTAAGTGTGGACATATAACCATTTAAATATAGTCATATAACTACCAGTATTTAAATATGGCCATATTATAATTTACATCATGGACATACATGTATAACTATTTAAATTTTGACATAACCATTTTAATATGGTCATATAACATATCAAGAGTCTTTATAAAACAATAAATTATTGTTAGAAATATATTGTTAGTTTGGTATGATTTTTTTTAAATTAATTAATTTGATTTATGAAAATTGTGATAATGTGATTAGATATATATGCAGATGAATACAATGTATATATGCAGATGAATATATAAAGATAAAGACTTATTTTTTAATGTGATATAGAATGTTAAGTTTATTATTTACTTTAGATTTTGTTAACATGTTTATTACATTTAGTTTTTGTTATTGTTTAAGTACACACATATTTTTAACAAATCCAATATTTTCCTTTTCATCTAGTTTGAAATGTAAACAAGATGAAATTGTTATGTAACTAACAGTTTTAAATACAAAGACTCTACTGTTTGGTTTTGTGTATTCTTTGCTGTTTATTATGCAAATATTTTCCTTTAACGTATTGATTTAAAGCTTAGGAATATTTATTTATATGAATTAAAAACTATGAAAAAATAATTCTTTTTTTTATTTATTATTGGTTTTAGTCTATTGTGCTTGTTATTTGGTTTAAATATGTTTCAATATCAAGGTGTCTTTATTTGGGTAAATACCATATTTGGAAATGGCTTATCTATATCGCTACCTGTCTAAACAAGAAAGGTAACTCCTGAATGCCCTGTTCAATATCATGATATTTCTGTTGATACTATTGAAGCGGTGTGTAGGTCTATTCAATAAATAGGGCTAGATTTATTTGACTTGTGAAGTCTTAAATTACTAGGCTACCTCTGGGAATAAATAAAAAAAACAGATATCAATGTTAGACGATGAGTAAGAATGAACAAGAAGGTTGGTGAAAAATTTTTTTCTTCAAATTTTCTTATTTCTGTCATTTTAAATGAATCAAATTTCAGCGTTAGTTTCAGTGTTACTATAAATAGATGTAATTATTGATTGACAAGGTGGAATGACAGCTACCTCTGCTTACATTGGTTGCCTAGGAAGCTTATTGTTAACAACCAGTGTAAGAATGTACATGTTTGTTTATTTTATAAGATGCTGGTTAAAAGACAAGTTTAGTTGCTGGCATGGGGTGGTAAGGGTGTGGTAATTGGTTTTTACAACATCGCTATTGATGTATTGGGGCAAATACTTTATTGAGAATTTTATTACCAATTTGAAGTGAAATTTGAATCAAGTGCTAGCAATTTATTGAATTTGTTGAAAATTACTCCTATTGGCAATATTTTAATGACACTTAAAAATTCAATAGCCTATTAGCACTTTTTTAATTTTTCTTTTACAAAAATGAACAAACATAGAACAGGACAAGATTTGTTGAAATTAAA